CATCATTCGACTTTCTCGCTACATTTAGGAGACTATTCCTATGTTTAACCAATTTCCATATCTCGGAGTTGAACCATGGAACATTCTTGCTCTTCACTATCTTATTTTTACTTGGAGCATGCTTATCAAGCGTATTCATTACATATAAAGAAAAATTATTGAATTCTACATCAGTTTTGACAGGGTGTTTGACATCAATATTTTCACAGTTTACATTCTCCATATAACTTTGTAAATCCTTATTGAATAAGTCCCAATCAATATGACTAAATTTTCTACAAGTTACAATTCTCGGAGATACTTTAATTTTAAGTTTCTTTCTCGCAGTAACACAGATATCATGGTCAGATCCAGCGAATGGTAAGTGAAAGGATTGTGTGAAATCTGACTTATTTGACACATACATATGATCAAGGAGCGATCCACTATTATGTGTAGGTCCTTTAATTAACTGGTACATATTAAACTCTTTGGCTAATAACAATAATTTATGCGTATTTATATCAAATACTCCTTTTCCAATCAAATTCAGATTAAAATCACCCACTATAATCCTTTCATACTTAAAACTCGATAAATATACATTAAGATCAGTAAAACATTTCAGAAATTGCGTTTTATCCGTGTCAGGTGGATTATATAACGCGGTAAAAAGTAAGGGCTTCATATAATCACGATAAACTTTCAAAATAGCTAGTTGAGTTCTACCAGGTATTAGAAAGTCAATGTCTAAAATATCAAATTTAAACGTATTATGTATGTACATAATTAAACCTCCACCTGACTTTTTACCTTTCTTCACATCCCTATCAAATCTTGTCATATAATACTCAGGAATTTGATACATACACGTTAAGTCTCTTTCAGCGTCTAGGTTCGATTCAGTAATCTCAAATACAGCAATAGTGTGCTTTTGTAGGAAATTACACACTTCCTCAAACTTATTTCTAATACTATTGATATTAACATGTGCAAATAAAATACCTTTACATTCCCTTATTTTCTTATCCAATAGACCATAAAATAAGTTGTTACCACTTGATGCATGATCTTGAGAAGAATGATTCGTAACGTTGGCTTGCGACGTATGAGGTTGAAGGGGTACGTAGTCCTCCTGCAGTAGCGCTGATGAGCTCAGAAAATCCGTTCCAATAATAAGACACGATCCCTCATTAATTTGTAGAGAACAATTAGCGCAAACCCAATTTGGTGCAACATTATTATATGTGTACCCCCTTTCTGGTCTTTTTACATTCTGATGACATATAAGATGATGCTTTTGCTCACACAAGGGGCAGGACAGTGTGAGTTGGCGTTTTCCGATAGCCCGATGACATGTTCCACAAGTTTGTCCATCCATCTTCCTATTCGTTGATGTTGATGTTGTTCATAATTCCATTCCATTCCGCCATGGTTGTTGAAATTACTGAATAAATTTCACCAATTAATAATTGACCAAAGAGATTTAAAAACTGGAACAATAGACCTGCATAGGATCGAGATTTATATAGCGCCGTCGGTCAGAGCGCTCTTGTTCAAGGGCAAATTAAACCGCTTTGCCCGCAGCGTATATGTTGAAAAATTCTGCCCAACCGGATGCAGAAATAGGCGAGAGAACGATGTGGGAGGGGACGGGAACCATAAAAAAACTTTGTAGCTTGTGTGTGCCCCCCGAGATTCTTTTCTGATGAAATAAGAACTGACTGAAGTAAGCAGGAACAAGAACTTGGAAGAGTCTATTCTGCAACTCAGGGGAGGCCAGCTGACGTTAAAATCACAATGCCGCACTTAGAGGTCAGCGCCGAGGTCCAGGTGTTAAAAATCATCTACCACTGACTAACGGAGTCCAAGAGTATGACAATGCCACAAACCCGACGATTGGGAGTGGTCAATAACTCACAAAAAATTAAAAAGAAAAATAATAATCGCGAGAGAGACAAACCTGCTGGTTTGTCTCTCTGAACTAAAAAAAGTTAGCCCTGTCAATATCAAAATTGAGGAATTTTCAAAGATCCAACTTAATTTAGGCATTCAAATTTTCTATTTGAAAATTCTTTAGTCTTCAACAAGTAAACATTAGCGTTTCAACCGCTCCACACCTATTCTATAATTAGATATTCAAATTCGCTAAAATATTTCATACGGCGTACTATCCTTACTTTTTACTTTAAATAATCACAATTTATTACCCACAAGTATTAATTTGGAGTTTGTAAGCTCGTAAAATTCAAATTGTTCTTAAAATTTCTTACTTGATTTTCATTGCAAACTTTTTAAATAAGTAGTAGCCTAAAATTTATCGAGTTACAAAACTCGGATTTAATTAAATCCCGACTTTGAACAAATTTTTAGTTTTTTTAAAAATTAAATATACCTTAAATTAATGTAAATGAGCACATCCATCAGCAATAGGACTGATTAGCAACCGGAAACCGGTTTTATATTTTTGAACAGTTGAAAAAAGACTGGAAATTTTGGCCAGTTTGCGTACCATTTACAAAATTAAAGGGTTTTAATGAAAGGTAAATAGATTTTTACCCCATATGCATGCTAGGTGTTGTCCTCTTCATAATATTGATTTCTCAAAAAAATTTCAACAAAGTTTGGCAGAAAGTTTTGTAAACTATATAAAATTAAAGTTTAGAAAGTGTATAATTTTTGGAAAATTTGGTTGTAAAACTGACATAAAACTATGACAGATTGAATGGAACTTGCATTTTGAGCAATTTACTAATTTGGGCTAATTTCGAGTTTGCACCCTTTTCATTAGTATTTAATATTTACGACCTAAATATAATTTCTGCTTCATTTTTGAGGAATTAAGAAAATCGAAAATGGCATTTCTGTACTTTTGTCAAATTTTGTCAAGTTTGTACGCCATTTACACAATTCCAGCATAGTTTATGGCAAAATGAAAAGTTAGGGGGGTATTCTTGATATGGTTTTATACTTGGCATTTGGTAGTTTAGTCGAACATTTGTAGTCTATTATATTTATAAAATTAAACTTTTCAAAGCGTATAATTTTAAGAAAATTTCGTATAACCGGAAACTAGTTTTATATTTTTGAACAATCAAAAAAGTTGAAAAAGACTGGTTGCAATTTTGCCCAGTTTGCATGCCATTTACAAAATTGTAGAATGTTTTTAGTGCAATCAAGCCTCAGCAGGTTGGTAGTGCATAGGTCAAATATAGGATATTATTGTTAACCAAATTTGGTTGAATATTTATAATTTTGTAAACTCCATAAAATTAAATTTTGGAAGGTTCTTCATTTCGGAAAATTTACATTTTCAAAATCAGTATAAACATTATGAAAGATAATGTTATTACGCGGATAACTATGGATAATTCTACCAAATTTTGTAAAGTGTCTAATTTTTGGAAATATTGTTTTAAATTATTGAATAACACTTGAATAAAGGTAAATTGAATTGAATTGGATACTCAAATTCGCTAAAACATTTTTTACGGCGTACTGCCCTTACTTTTTAAGTTGAGTAATCACAATTTATTAATTTCCATGGTGTTCAGAGGAATTTTCAAACTTGTTAAATTCGAATTTTTCGACTTTATTTTCCTTCGTAATCTTTTATTGCAAACTTTTAGAATTAGTAGTCTTAAATTTGTGGCGCTACAAAACTCCGATTGGATTACATCCTAACTTTGTATCGTTAGGATTTTCCTTTAATTAAATAATTTGAGTACCTAAAGTTAATTAATCAATAAATGAAAACCTCCATCAGCCGTCAGGAAAACATCCATATGTAGAATCGATTAATAGCCGGAAATCAAAAACCGGTTGTAGGTTTTTGAACAATTGAGATAGTGCGAAAAAGAGTGGTGACAATTTTGGCCAGTTTGCATGCCATTTACAAAATTACAATGCTTTTAGTGTAATTTAAGGTCAATAGGTTTGTAGCCTGGATGATAGTGGCGAACGGTAGAATATTAGAATGGTATTTGTAAACTCCATACAATTAAACTTTGTAAATCGTGTAATTTTGAGAAAATTGGTATAAACATTATGAAGGATTGAATAACAAAATGAAATTATTTTATAATAATTGTATTACATATCTAATTGAATTAAATTATGAAAATGTCTCAATATTTCAATATTTAAAATCATCTCTAGATAAATACGCTCTCCATAAGGGACCCACATTGACCTTCAATGTATTAAAATTGGCAGAATTTGGGTTTGTAGTGTAAACTTTGTAGGAATACATATTTTGAACGTGTTTTTTAAAGATAAGTTAACCCTGTGAATACCAAAATTTAGGAATTTTCAACGATCTACCTTAATTTAGACATCAAAATTTTTCTGTTTGACAATAAATAAAATATTCTTTAATATGCTTTAATCTTTAATTAAACATTAGCGTTTCAACCCCTACTCATCTACTCAATAATTAGATATTCAAATTCGCTAAAATATTTCATACGGCGTGCTCCCCGTTCTTTTTAATTTGCATAATCACAATTTATTGCCCCAATGTATTATACTTAATATTGATTTGCGAAACTTATAGGTATAATAAATGCTTGCATATTTATGTAGGTACTTCTTTGTATTAAGTAAGTATCACGCGCATATCAAGTTAGTAATAATTTCGAAACCAGTAATTTTATCTAAATATATATATAATTATAAATTCATGGTTGGCGTAACCGAAAATCCTTTAAAATGTCACATTAATTTCTATCATTACTAAGAATTTGGTGCACAATTATGTTATACTATTATTAGGTTCTTACTATTTCCATATTATTCTACACGAAATCATAGTTATTATCAATTTGCCCGTCCGCACTATTTACGTATGTATGTATGTACATATGTATGTATGTATGTGTGTATTTATGTGTGTAGGCGTGAGTTCTCCTTCTGGTCTCTTACATACGTAAGTAACATATAAGTCATGTAATTTATTACGCATAAGTAAGGGTTTCCTACTCTGCTTTATTATTTTAGTTTTGCATAAATGGAACGCGTAATAATCACAGAAATATTTCTTTATTAACTGGAAGATTTTGCACACCTGGGAATAACGGATCAAATTTGCATTAAATAATAAAAAAACAATATAAGTTTAGTTCAAAATTATTTTAATAAATACTTAAGACGACATAATAATGCAACAAATCCCACAGGTTCCACACCTCGTGCAACCGTTTGCCTCCCGAGTGTCGCCATTTTTTGTGAAATACCACAAAACCTTGTCATACAAAACTGTATCGGATGCCCAGGTAGGTCTACATCCCATCGTGGTAATGCTGACCCGACCTCCTTCTGGCGTTACTTCAAACGCCTCACCGTTTCGGTCTCCATCAAGGCGTCTAAGTCCCAACACGTCCTGGATGCCGTAAAGTCGCATGGCTTCAAATAGGTCGGTCACGAAAGGCTGACTTGGCTCGGGCTGGGGGGAATCCGTGGCTAAAAATTCATACGGGATTAGGCTCCCGTCTTGGTCGAATTTCCAAGTTTGTGGGACGATAAACTCTTTTCTTGTCAAGTTATGTTCATTCCACTCCGAATTTGGGGTTGGGTGTGCTTTGCCATCTAAAAAGTCAAATTTTAATTTTTTAAATTATTCTTATAAGTATTTAGTTTGATCCAAATCATAAACAAATCTGGTAAGAAAATTTGTAGAGTTTAGATAAGCCTAACCTTTGACCTGCCAAGGAAACGCGATGCTAATGTTTCCATCCTGTTTCAAAGTTTCCACGAGGATTTCGTTCTCTTGGAGGAGAAAGTGGCGATGGTTCATGATCAACCCGTACTCGTCTTCCCTGTTGTGGTCGAGGAAGATTCGCTTAAATTCATCAATCAGATTTCGCACCCCACGTTCGTCAAAAGCTCGCTTGGCGCAGCAAAAGTTTGGAATGGAGTTGAAGTGGGTGGTGCATCCTCCGGGTGGGAGTGGGCAGGAAAGTGTCATTCTTTAGTTTTCTATAATGTATTATTTTGTGAGTGCTGATAAAAAATGTGGAATGGTTGGTGTCACTCTGATGCTGTCCAATCTATACCGAAAGAGAAGATACTCATGAAATCCGATGCTGAACAGTTCAGGAAGCTAATATTGATTTAAGTCAAGAAAACTTGTTTAAGTTCGTGGGCTTTTATGCAATTCTTACTTTAAGTAGATAAATTAAAATACGTAAGAAGTTGCAGCAAATGTTCATATTTTCCCATGTATGTCGTCAATATACATCTTTAAACGGGGTGTAAGGAAGAGGTGAAACCAAATGTACGTAAATACATCTCAAAAGTGTTATGAGCCTTGGAACTGACTTTGACTTCGTCCTCATTACCACGAGATCTTCATAGAATGTCAAAATGTAGATCGTTAAACTAATTTCTGGAATCCGACGCCCACGTAATATCTACAAAATTGAAATTAAAATCCCGCTTTGTTATCATTGATATCGCCCCCAATGTATGTATACGTACATCAGTCACCGCAGTAAATAAATACCTACATACGAGAAAGACAGCCAACGAACTTGACCTTCCTGACACTGCAGAAATTAGAAAAACACGAACTCAAAAATATTAACTTGTAATTATGTATGTAGATAGCTATCGCTGGGAATGGACAGACATGTCCATTTTATTTATAAAGGTGTCACCCCTAATAAATACATGGGTCATTGTACATGTTTGACACCCAAGTTTTGATTTGACAAACAATCTTAATGGGTTTAACCAACTCAATATCCAACCGAGAAATTGTACAGAAATTTGTGGATATTTATCCATACTACTTAATACATTTGTTGGAGTTATGTCCAAGTGTACCTAGTATTATCTTATCTGTCGTATACTACTGACTACTGTACATATATATGTACATACATAAATGCACAGGAAGATACCAGGGCTGATGTGTTTTTTTGGCTTTATATACATTTTACATGTGCCTACATAATTAATAGTTGTTTAATATAATTTTACCTCCACAAAACCATGATATTTGTATATTTCAAGTGCTGAAGTTGTGCACATAGAGAACATATAGAGAACATACATACCTACCTATGTAGATTTTTAGATGTGTACAAGTTTTTACGTACTTATGTAATATGCACATATGTCCAATCTGGACTCAATTAATAACATTCTCCTACACTACAAATTGAAAATTTTGGACAGAAATTTTTGAAATGAAAACATGCATCTGCGACAGGAAAGCACGTTTGCTAAATATGTATGTATACATAACTGTCTTTTAAATTCAGAATTTAATCAAATTTTATTATACAAAGTTTCCCATCCTCATTGCATTCGCTTAATTCTTAATGATTATAACAAAATTAAAAAACAGAGTAGTTAACAACCTCAGGAACCTTGCATACAATGAATGCATACAGTGCACTGTATGTACATACATAACTCTATGTATGTATACATACACAGACATACGAATGTATGTGTAGTTGCATAACATTACCACCGGATACGGACAGATTTCCTTTCAGTGGATTTGATGAACTTCACCAAAAACCCAGTTGTGTCTCGCCCACGATACTGGTTGTTGTGCCACCCCAAAAATTACATGAGCCCAGTACGCTACAAGATTCTGCAAAACCTGGTGTTCATACTGCTTCACTGCAAAATAAATACGCTGAAAAGTAAGCTGTCATAATCCAGTACAATGAACTGTGTACATGAACATCCAGCAAATCCATCGAATCAACTTGTAGCCTATACTTATTATGTGCAGTTGTTGTTTGTGGAGGGCAGCAGCTTGTACTGTTGAAAATAAAGCGTCACTGCTTAATTTTCATTTAATTATTCACTTCAGCAAGTTAAACTTTACACGGATAAATAATTTGTTGATATTATAGTGTATAAAAGGTTCAACAAATTCTAATAGCAGTTCATTCACACTGCACTTTGTAAAATTGCGACGTGCGAAAAAAATTGCAAAACGAACTTTACACAGTATTTTGTATTATTCCTCGCAGGAAATATGTTCGCTTCGGTTTTAGCTGCGGGGCTGGATAACCTGAGTACGAGGAATAATAGCAACTCTAAAATTAGTGGGGACAACAGTTCCGGAAAAGTTGAGGGGAATTCAAACACTAAATTATACACGGATAAATCCATTCTGAACATTTTGGAAAATTCCAATTGTAATTTGAACTTTGTCAATGTTTCGGCTAAATTGACAAACTCAAGTAATAGCGATGTTACGTGGAAAAATGGGGATTTAATGGTGGATAATTGCTCGAATTCACAGGTAAAATTTTTGCAATTTAATACTTATGTTTTGCAGAGGCATTTTTACACTCATGATTTTTTTGCACGGTAAAAGAATGTAAAAATTGTGTAAATGGAACAATATTTTTTGTGATTTTTGGCATAAACATTTTCATGAACATTCATGAAGTTACATAATTTGATTTTTTTTGTACATATTTCCAGCTCCGTGGCGACCCAGACGATGGCAAATGCTCCTTCAACTCGAATTCCAATCTTAAATTTTCTGGAAAGGGGACAATCTCCTGTGAATTTAGAAACAACTCAAATACGGATGCTTCCCTTCCGGAGGGTGGGATTGTCAAGGCGATAGGAAATTCTAATCTGAAAATTAATGGGGGTAGTCAAAACCTGGTAGTCGAAGACACAAAGAATTTGCACATTCGTAGTACCCCGTTCAAGTAGGCTCCATTTTAATAATCATTTAATAATTTATAACAATAAAATAATTTTTTCCCACAGAAATCGATTCCAAGTCGTCCAGCAAGGTAAGTGGTTCAGCTGGCTGCCTAGTTTTGGACAACAACCTTCATGCGAGAATGAGGCAAATAATCTCCGGTATGAATTGGATTATGCAAAAACCGGAAAAATTATCAGATCCAAATACTTGGCTGGAGATTTTTCCTTTGATTTGACTCATTCTCGCGATGAGGTTCAAGTTCAACTTGGCTCTGGTGGAAATCTGAGGGACGTGAGGATTGATAAAGTCAGTGGGAAAAGTGTGATCGTCACGGGAACGGGGGCGGATGGGAGTCGACAAGAGCTAGAAATTCAGGGACCTAACACTGTTTCGGTGAAGGATGATGGGAGAACGGTGCTGATCAGTTTGTGTGATCAGGCCGGTTTGTAATTTTAAATTGGATCATTCATTTATAAAATATTTAACTGGTGGTAATTGGTAAAATTCTGCTGTGATGACGAGTAGTTTTAAGAATTTGCATTGATATGAATTTCATAAAAATTGAGTAACAGAAAAATGGAAGGAATAATATTTACTAAAATGCAGTATTAGTCCATATAAAAAATGTAATTAATTGGGATCCGGTTTATATTTAATGACGGTTTAATAAAGGTTTATTCGAATTTATCCACATAATTTATGTTTGTACGTGTCCTATTGCACGCATTGTAAATACACATGATTCAAGTCAAGAATAACTTTTACACATGCTGAAAAAGCATAATTAAAGCATATTTGAATTTGATGACGCCGGAGTTGGATTAAAAATTTGCGTTCCATCCAAACTAAATGAACTTGAGTGCTTAGGGAAATTTTAGAAATCATATTTTTCGAACCCCTTCAAGAAGCAAAGGTTCTTCTTAACATAAACTCTTATTGTTAACAGGAGAAGCTATGTATCTACCTGTATATCTATCTACATATGTATGTACTTTTCAATACATAACTGTTGCATATGTACATACTGTTAAGATATTATACGCATATGTACATAGTATCAAAAGATACATAAAGTTATGTATGTATATATTTATATGTATGTACATAAACTTATGTGCACACGCGAGTTCACCAATGAGATCTGACATTGTGAACCGTGCATTTGTACATGTATTTGTTGTACACGTAATGTGTAAACCCGGTTTACACATTACGTATTATATTTACCGTATACCGTCAACACTTGTTTATGTACTTATGCATGTTCATACAAATTGTATGTATGTGTGTGCAAATACGTAGATACATATTTATACATATGGAAAAAAAGTTCAATGACTTATCCTGCCAATTGACCATTGATAACAAACATGGGAAAAGATGGACATTCGAATTTTACATCAAATCCAGTAAGCCTTACATAAGTAGGCCGTCGACACTTACGTACATATCTATGTGGGTACAATGTACCTATGTATGTACCTATCTATGTACATATATGTTCATGTGGTCAACGAGTTTTTCAATGAACGAATGTTTTTTATCAACTTAAGAAGGGATATATGTAGCTGATGTGGTATGTATGTATTTGATACAATGTACATACACATGACTTTGGATAACCAACATGGGAATAGGTGGAGTTGAAATTTACATACTTTGAATTACCAAGTTCCAAATATGTAAATTCAGCTTACATAAGCAAATTATATCAAATCCAGTGTGCCTTTATTTATTATTTACATCAAAGAGCAAGAATCACGCCGATTAATATTAACTTCCTGGGACCGCATCTTTGCATTTCCTGAACATTTTATTCAAGTATAAATTGGACAGCTTCGACGTGTTCAAACTCATTCCACATTTCTTCGGCATAGACAAAATAACAGATAATTACAGAAAACTAAAGAATGGCACTTTCCTGCCCACTCCCACCCGGAGGATGCACCACCCACTTCAACTCCATTCCAAACTTTTGCTGCGCCAAGCGAGCTTTTGACGAACGTGGGGTGCGAAATCTGATTGATGAATTTAAGCGAATCTTCCTCGACCACGACATGGAAGACGAGTACGGGTTGATCATGAACCATCGCCACTTTCTCCTCCAAGAGAACGAAATCCTCGTGGAAACTTTGAAACAGGATGGAAATATTAGCATCGCGTTTCCTTGGCAGGTCAAAGGTTAGGCTTATCTAAACTCTACAAATTTTCTTACCAGATTTGTTTATGATTTGGATCAAACTAAATACTTATAAGAATAATTTAAAAAATTAAAATTTGACTTTTTAGATGGCAAAGCACACCCAACCCCAAATTCGGAGTGGAATGAACATAACTTGACAAGAAAAGAGTTCATCATCCCACAAACTTGGAAATTCGACCAAGACGGGGGCCTAATCCCGTATGAATTTTTAGCCACGGACTACCCTCAGCTCGACCCAAGTCAGCCTTTCGTGACCGACCTGTTTGAAGCCATGCGACTTCACGGCATCCAGGACGTGTTGGGGCTTCGACGACTTGATGGAGACAGAAACGGGGAGGCGTTTGAAGTAACGCCAGAAGGAGGTCGGGTCAGCGTCACCACGATGGGAAGTAGACCTGACGGAATGACTATTGATACGGTGGGGAAGGTTTTGTGGTATTTTACAAAGGAGGGCGACACTGAGGAGGCAATGGCCTGCACTAGATGTGGAACCTGTGGGATTTGTTGGAATTGAAACATTTAATATTGAACATTTTGAAATCTTTCATTAGGTTATAAACTTTTTTGTCGAAATTTTTAGGCTACATTTATTGATTGAATTTCTGAAGCTTGTGATTTTTTTGGGCAAAATTTCCATTGTGTATTTCAGTTTATTTTTTACCTTTTGAGACAATCCATTTTGATTTATTTATCCAATTCTTATTATCCATCTATAAAAAATTGAATTAATAAATATTCCAAACCCGAATTTCATGACAAATCCTGGGGAAAAACCAAGTGGTATTATACATACATACGCAAATACCTGCCTGTGTGAAACGATAGCATAAACAAATATGCATGTCATAACCTGGCTTCAAACCCACTTTATAAATTGTCTCGTACTGGCAGTTTGAAAGGTTTTTATGCATCTCGAGATTATCCTAATTCGGATAATATGGCTTATTGACGTGTTTGTCATTTGTGATCGCCGTCGTGCAAATGATTAATTTTACAGTGAAATTTCTCGTACTATACCTATCTTCACCATCATATAATAATGAAGAAGAACGAGGTACAGGTAAGATAAGAGAGAAAGTTCACAGCTAAAGATTTCCATGCGTGACAGATAACATTGGGGCGCGTTTGGTAAATGGTAAATGCCGCTTTTACATTTTTTTTGACTGTTAGTCATTAATGCCATGAGACTAATTTGCAAAATTCATATTATATTGGTTATTATTCATTATACAGGTACGTAACACAGTAACCTTCGTTGAAAAATGATCAAAGTTTAGTGTATGTAGAGTGGAATTAATGGTAAATGCAATTCATTAATATTTTGTCCCATTTGAAACGTGCAAAATTTGTCAACCTTGGGGCGCGTTTTATCCTGTTTTTATGCACTGTTAAATACACGCATGGAAATCTGTTAATTAATTCCGCTCATATTAAGGGAAATTTATAAACCCTAAAAAACTGTAAACTCTTTGTAAATTTGTAAAATTCTAATTTTTCTTAAAATTTCTTACTTGATTTTCATTGCAAACTTTTTAAATAAGTAGTAGCCTTAAATTTATCGCGTTACAAAACTCCGATTTAATTCAATCCTGACTTTGAACACATTTTAATGTTTTTAATTAAATAATTTAAATACCTTAAATTATTTAAGTAAATGAGCACATGCATCAGCAATAGGACGGATTAGCAACCGGAAACCGGCTTTACATTTTTGAACAATTAATAAAGTTGAAAAAAGACTTTGCACTCAAAATAAGGAAGTAATGAATCATTACCATGCGGAATGACTATGTGGCTCTACCACGTCGGTTACGATTTGTCGTAGAAATGGTAATTATAAGTTCAGGGAAATTCAAATTTAATACATAATAGTATTAACTTCCTTAATATTTGGTAATGAATTTGAATTTCCCTGAAATTATTATTACCATTTCTACGACAAATCGTAACCGATGTGGTAGAGACACATAGTCATTCCGCATTGCAATGATTAATTACCACGTTACTTTGAGTGTGACAATCTTGACAAGTTTGCATGCCATTTACAAAATTACAAAACTTATAAAAGTTGAATAGATTTGTACCCCGGATTCATTATAGGTATTGTAATTAACAAAGTTTGGCAGAATGGTTTGTAAAATCCGTAAAATTAAAGTCTAGAAAGTGTATAATTTTTAGAAAATTTGGTTTTAAAAGTAGGATAAAAGTATGACAGATTGAAAGGAATTTGCATTTTGAACAATTGACTAATTTCGGCGATTTTGGACTAATTTCGAGTTTGCACCCTTTTCATTAATATTCGACCTAAATATGATTTCTGCTTCGTTTTTGAGGAATTAAGAAAATCGAAAAAAGTGCGTTTATGTAATTTTGTCAAGTTTGTACGCTATTTACAAAAATTTCTGTATAGTTTATGGCAAAATGAAAAGTTAGGTGGGTATTCTTGATACTAGTATTATAGTTAAATGAAAAGTTAGGAGAATTTTCTTGATAAATTGGTCTTGAGTGTAGTTCAGTTTCCACATTTTTAATTTGTTTAATTTTATAAAATTAAACTTTTCAAAGTGTGTAATTAAAAAAATTCGTATAATCGAAAACCAGTTTTATACTTTTGAACAATTAAGAAAGTTGAAAAAGACTAGTGGAATTTTTTCCCAGTTTACATGCTATTTACAAAATTGTAGAATGTTTTTAGTGCAATCAAGCCTCAGTAGATTAGTAATACAAACGCCAAATATAGGATATTGTTGTTAACGATATTAGGTCGAATATTTATAATCTGTGTAAACTCTACAAAATTAAACTTTGTAAAGTGTGTAATTTTTGGAAAATCTACATTTTCAAAATTGATATAAACATTATCAAATATTATTTTATTACGCGGATAATCAGCTCCTTAAAAGTTGACCACCGAGAAAGCCAGCCTGCCAGGTGAGGCAGAAATTATGAGGAAATAATTCTACTAAATTTATAAGGTGGATAATTTTTGGAAATTTTGATTTTAAATTTGGTATATAAATTGTGCCTAAATGCAATTTCGGACAATAAAATAAACTTCGAATTTGCATTCGATTCATTAATTTTTGACCTGAATATAATCTATCCATGACTTTTTAAATAACTAAGAAAGTTAAAAAAGAATAGTTACAATTTTGTCGAGTTATTACGTCATTTTGCAAAATTACTGTATATTTTAGGTACTACAATTATAACGTAGGTTTTGAGAAAAAGAGTTTTGATTGTAGATAACGAAGTTTAGTGACAATTTTGGCCAGTTTGCATGCCATTTACAAAATTTCATATGTTTTTAGTGTAATTAACGGTAGGTAGGTTTGTACTCCATGTGGTAAAAATTAAAAAATAATTAAAAAATATTTACAGAATAGTTCAACATTACTGTAATTAGCGAAAATTGGTCTAATATTTATAATCTCCGGTGTTTACTTTCTAGCGGGATATATACATTTCTAATTAGCAAACTGGATTCTTACACCTAGTTTGCTAATTAGAAATGTATATATCCCGCTAGAAAGTAAACACTGCAGATTATAAATATTAGACCAATTTTCGCTAATTACAGTAATGTTGAACTATTCTGTAAATATTTTTTAATTATTTTTTAATTTTTACCACATGGAGTACAAACCTACCTACCGTTAATTACACTAAAAACATACGAAATTCTTACATCTAGGAGTGACAATGCACAGAAATGGGACTTTCAATCGAGCTCACAAGGAGTTTAAAGAGAAGGCGACTGCTGCAGTGATGAAAGTCCTCAATATTACAAGAAGATCTGGTGTTCCGCCCTTATCTATGCAATTCAAACTATTTAACTCCATCGCACGGGCAACTCTTCTTTATGGCTCATCAATATGGGCAATGAAATTCGTGGACGACATCGACAAACTGCAAATCCGTTTCCTGAAGAAACTACTCAGACTTCCTCCATCTACTCCTGATTACTTTGTTCGATTGGAAACAGGTGCGCGGGACACAAGACTGCAACATCTTGCTGACACATTGGGTTTCTGGGAAAGAATATCAAGAAAAAAGAAGACTCCCCCGTAAGACAATGTATGATCATGCAAATGAAATGGACACGCTTAAACTCGATACCAATGCAAAGAAACCATTGCTGGAGCCAAGATTTCCTTGATCTCCTCAAGGTCGCAAAATGTGAAAACCTCCCATCAACTTTGACATCCCTTGTGACTATGCGTAAAACCCTCCTAATCAACTATGAACTGCATCTTAAGAATGCGGACGTCTCGAGGATGCAAAACTCCAGGTTCATTCCACACTACAAACTCATCAAACTGAAAGCTACTACAGAAGGATATTTCAGCATGAACCACTCGATCCAAAAATGCAATTTGATGACTCAATTGCACACTTGTAACTTTGTGGATCGCGATCCGAACCGGATCGTAAATTGCGATCCGATCCACGAGCCGATCCGATCCAGGCGTGGACCGGATCGTGGATCGGCTCGCGGTACTTTCCATCTGCTTGGATCGGATCGTGGATCGGCTCGCGATACAAAATGAGTCTGCCACCAGTGATAAATACACTTGTAACTATGTGTATCGCGAGCCGATGGATCGTAAAACGCGTGCCGAGCCGATCCGATCCAGGCGTGGACCGGATCGTGGATCGGCTCGCGATACTTTCCATCCGCCTGGATCGGATCGTGGATCGGATCGCGGTACCTTCCATCGATGTGGATCGGATCGTGGATCGGCTCGCGATACTTTCCATCCGCCTGGATCGGATCGTGGATCGGATCGCGGTACCTTCCATCGATGTGGATCGGATCGTGGATCGGCTCGCGATACTTTCCATCCGCCTGGATCGGATCGTGGATCGGATCGCGGTACCTTCAATCGAGGTGGATCGGATCGTGGATCGGATCGCGAAGCAAAAGTTACATGTGTGCTCAATTGCGCCTAAATAAATTTAGCATTAAAATTGGACAATCCTATATCCCCCTAAATTAAAATTGCCCCCTATGTAGTGACACCTGTTCTGTTGAACACCTTATGTTTTCTTGTACTTCTCTAAGATCTGAACGACAATCATTAATTTTTCCATTAATTCCCAATTTTAATCCAACTGAATTTACTAATACGCAACTTTATATTGCTCTTTTTTCTTCGGCCTATAGTGATAGAGTACTGAATAACTTATTTCTTTTTTGGCACAAAGTTGCCAAATATTTTGACCTATGTTCTGATCAATAATTACTTATTTTAATTTTATTTAACTTTACGATATTCAATATGTAACCATTCATGATGTGCAAAGACTGTTGGCTATGATTTATTATTTATTATTTATCAATTATTATTATAATTAGCAAACTAGGTGCATGAAACTACAAAAAACTATAAAAAAGTTCAAGAAATATGCGCAAATCTAGCCACCCGCCGTATGAAGTACACCGGCGGGACGTGGTATCTTGGGCCTTGCATTTCTTGCAGGTCAAAATACGTGCAAATGAATGATAAATATGAATTAGGACAAATGAATGATATATGTATGAATTCTTAGCATTTATTTAGTTATTACTTGACCCAATAATTAGATTAGTTTAGTT